GTGCTCCACCGGGGGCCTAGCTGTGGATGTCTGCATCCAGATTCCTCAGTCCTTGGATGGGGTTTCTGGCACAACTATTAGGGTGTTTGGCCATCCCATCACCAGAGTAGGTCAGTCTTGGCTGTCTCTTGGCCATTGCCAACAGTCCAAAAGCAGTTTCTTAATAAAACTCTTTACACTTCAAAAGTAGTCTCTTAGTATACCCCATTTGCATTTCTTACTAACAAAACGTGATATTAATCCACTCAAACAATTTTTGAAATTAGACTAAGGAATATTTTATTTTATTTTACAATACAATTTAGTTCTACATATCAGCCACGGATTCCCTTGTTCTCCCCCCTCCTGTCCCCCTCCCCTTCCCCCCAGCCTATCCCCCATCCCCACCTCCTCCAGGGAAAAGCCTCCCCCAAGGACTGAGATCAACCTGGTAGACTCAGTCCAGGCAGGTCCAGTCCCCTCCTCCCAGACTGAGCCAAGCGACCCTGCATAAGACCCAGGTTTCAAACAGTCAACTCATGCAATGAGCACAGGACCCGGTCCCACTGCCTGGATGCCTCCCAAACAGATCAAGCCAATCAACTGTCTCACCCATTCAGAGGGCCTGATCCAGTTGGGGGTCCCTCAGCCATTGGTTCATAGTTCATATGTTTCCATTCATTTGGCTATTTGTCCCTGTGCTTTATCCAACCTTGGTCTCAACAATTCTTGCTCCTCTTTCTCGCTAATTGGACCCACAAAGCTCCACCCGGGGACTAGCTGTGGATCTCTGCATCCAGATCCCTCAGTCATTAGATGGAGTTTCTGGCATGACAATTAGGGTGTTTGGCCATCCCATCACCAAGGTAGGTCAGTTCAGGCTGTCTCTCGACCATTGCCATAAGCAGTGGAGGAGAGTTCCCCTAGCTCCACATCCTCTCCAGCATAAGCTGTCTGCAGTGTTTTTGATCTTAGCCATTCTGACAGGCATAAGGTGGTATCTCAGAGTTGTTTTGATTTGCATTTCTCTGATGATTAGGGATGTTGGGCAATTCCTTAAATGTCTTTCAGCCATTTGAGTTTCCTCTGCTGAGAATTCTCTGTTTAGTTCTATAGCTCATTTCTTAATTGGACTGTTGGGCATTTTGATGTCTAATTTCTTGAATTCTTTATATATTCTGGATATCAGTCCTCTGTCAGATGTGTCTCAGCCTAGGTCCCATCCCTGGGCACCAGCCACTCTGGGGAAGACCTGCCCAACTGGCCCCAGATTCTGGCCACCAGGCAGGTTCCCTTCTACCACCACCCCTACCGGGAAGGCTCCCCTTCTCCAAGACCCCTAGCAGACCCTGCAATCTCCACGCCCTGCCCCCACGCCCATCATCGCCCAAGACCCCAGCAACTTCCCGAGACTTAGAGACTGGCCCCCAGCTCCCCTCCTGCCCCAGACTTCCCTTCTGGATAAGAGGTGAGTGTCTGGGCTCAGCCTAGATCCCATCCTAGGGCACCAGCCATATGGTGGTATTTTATTTGTACTGAAATTTGATTTTCATTGTATGTTAATAAATAAAGTTGCCCGTGGGGCAGAGCTATCAGAGCCATAGAAAGAGCCTGACCGTGGTGGCACACGCCTTTAATCCCATAGATCTTTATGTGTTCAGGGATACAGCCAGCATTGGAGATATACGCCTTTAAGACCTGGAGGGCTGTACTTACAGGCAATGACAAGGCAGTCATGTGTCTGTGTTTACAACCAATGAGAAGGCAGAACAGAAAGACTATTTAAAGACATACACACAGGAAGTAGGTTTCTTTCGGAGAGCTAGGAGCAATGCAGGAGGAAGGGTGAGATTTTAGCTCTGAGCTCTGACCTCTTGGCTTTCTCTTTTACATTGGTCCCGTGTTTCTTATTTAATAAAACGGTTGGTTACATCTACACAGCCACTCTGGAGAAGACCTGCCCAACTTGGCCCCAGGTTCTGGCCACTGGGCAGGTTCCCTTCTAGCCCTAGACTAAGGAATATTAACTCTCCCTTTTCTTTATAATTTTTTAAGCAAAATCTCAAGCCTAGTTAGAAAACCCAAACTTTTCCATTTACACAGTTCCATTTGTAAAACAAAACCAGTTCCATAAGCAATTCTATTTTTACATAAACAGTTCCAGAAAACAATTGAATTTTTAACTCAGAATACATGGATCACCAGCATATATGCATACACAAAACTGCATCTTGAGTCAAGGTAGAAACAATAAATTTTTTCATTTAAACAGTTCCATTTTTAACCCAATTCCAGAAAACAGTTCCTAGATCATTACTATCAGTAAACTCAAAATTGTCCCATTGCAATGAAATCTCTATTGTTCATTTTATTTCTTAAGTCCCCAAATTCAAATGATAAATTCTGATACTAGCCTTCTAAATATGAAGAAATTCATAAACAAAATCTTTCTGTAGTTTTATCTCATTTTAAGTTAAAAAAAAAGTAAATTCTGGTATCAGGCTTTCACTTCCAAATATGAAGAGAAGTTTTACAACTAAAACTTTTTGCAGTTAACAATTTTAGTTCAAACAAGTGTCTCTGCAAATTTTATTCTCAAGCCAGAGACCTTTTTAGGTACAGTAGTATTCTAAACCACACCGTTTTCGATGTTAGCTCAGGTTTTTCTGTGTTGCGTTGATTTTCCACGGATCTCAGCTGAGGATGCCTTGTTGGGCTGGTTCTGGCATCTGCCATTCTTAGCTTCTTAGCGGCTTCTGGAACATTTGAAAACTTCTCAGACTGCTTACTCTGTAGTCTGCTAGGACACTAACTTCTGTGTTTCTGGTTCTTTCACCATATACATTAACACTTTCACAAACTCACAAATGGTTTTTAACTAGAGGCTGTCCCTTCACCCAAATTCCTAATAGCTCCCCTAAGTGCTTCAATTCAGACAAATGTTTCTATTACAGCAGTACTTTTGGTTTGCTCTACTGAAAAACTTCATTTCATGCTGAGGGTGAAATTACCATATTTAGCTGCTGTAAAGCTCTTTGCCAAATATTGCACAGCTATTAGGTGATAAAGTATTTTTCTAAAGGAGCTAGTAAAGCCAAAAGCAGCACAGCTCTGAACTCTATTTCCTCACTCTTTGCATTAACCAGTGACAAAACCTCAGAAACACTAATTGAGCCACTTTCATTCTGGTTCCTTTATAGGAACCTCATTGGAGCTGACCTTCCTTAGTTCCACACTCCTTACCAGATGCTCTGGTAACCACCGAGCTTCATTATCCTCTTGTGAAAAAAATCAAACATGTCCTCGACCCCATATTAAAACAGGATCGGGACCCTTCCATAATCCAGAGCAGGGATCTTTCCGTCTTAAACCTTTGCTATTTTGATGAAAAGCATGTGACTGTTGAGCCATTTCCACTTGGGATAATGCTCAGCCATTGCATTACCCTCAGTTAAAGGACCAGGAAGTTTGGCGTGAGCTCTAATATGGCCCACAAAGCATGGCAGCTTTCTTTTGTGAATAGCGTCTTGAATTTGTTGAAACATTTTGACTTGATTGTTGTTAGTTCCAATATTTTCACCAAAACTGTTACTATTCAAAGGAGTCAAGAATTTAGATGTTCTTTCATGAAACATATCCTTCTTAAGCTTACTCTGAGAAAAAGCATTTTCAGGATTTAGTATTTTCATTTCATTAGCTTTAACTCGTGATGGTATTAGCAGCTGTGATATTTAGCATTGATTTCTTATAAGGAACTTTCAGGTGAAGCGACTATTTTGTAAGACAGCTAGATTTTCTGAAGTTTGTTCCAGTCTATAAAGCAGTCATTTCTTTTTGAATGCCTGTTTCCTTGTCTCCTATTAGATTTGCAAAGGAATTACTCATTGCAGGCAGTTTGTTCAAAAGGCAAAGAACTTTAATTTCAACATAAGTTTCTTCATATCTAACACAACGTTCAGTGTATAAACTGCTTTCCCTTGTTTTAAGGATTTTAAAATGGCTTGTTTGCTCATATAGGTAGCTTTTTGTCATCCAACTACCGTAAAAACTTTGCACAGCTATTAGGGTAAATAAGGCATTTTACCAATGTAGCCCCAAATTGAGAAGCACCTAGTTCCATATCCTTTCAATTTTTCACTGGAACTGACACTTAAACTTAGACGATTTTCCTCCTTATTCTTTTAAAAGCTGTATTTTAAAGTTTACCATGAACGTATTTTCGAGCTGACAAAAGTGTTTCAGGGCAATGTCGCCGTCTTTAGCAGAAAAACTACCTTTCCCAGAATGCATTTCCCTTATATCAGTCCATAATAATATCATTTCCATTATATCAGTTATTTCCCATAGTTCTTTTTGGGTCTGAGAGTCAACTGGTTCTCTTTTACCAGACTTGCTTACAAATTCTTGCCCAGGAAGTTTAAACAAATTTTTTGCTTTTGCAATGGGAGATTTGAACAAGCATTTTACATTTTCAGCTATGGCACATTGGGAGATTTCTATTCTCTCCACAGCTGGCTTTAACAGGTGTTTCTACTTCATCAGACACTGGCCCCCGGATCAGAACTGCACCTGCCTCGTTAGCACGCATTGAGGTGAACAATTTCTGATCACAACTTTCCTCGGGGCTTGTGCTTGCCTTAGCCAGTCAGTGAAAAACAAATATTTACAAAAGAGCTTTTCCATAGCTCCTTCAGAGATTTTCTCCCACTGACTTTATTCTCATTTCCTTGTTCCTTTCCCCCCAGATGCAGAGCTTCAGATATCCCAGGCTGTTCTGTTCCTCTGCTAGCTGCCTTTGGAGGTAGGGGCTTTCTTCCCCCCAATCTGCCTCAAACGCTTAGCAGCTTTGTCAGGTCATGCATTTTCTGGGGAGGAATCTGTCCCCTCTGTTTCTTCAGAGTCTTTCTCCCAGACAGTTTCCAGTTTGGTCTCAGTTTATCACCTCTACCCCAGAAACAATTTCCGACACTACAGTGGTGGCTTTCCCTGCTACTGAAGGTAGGGGCTTTTTTGTCCGTTTCTGTTTTTGGGGTCTGTGTTGTTTGCGTACAGACAGAAAATCTAACAAGGGAGGTTTTTGCTATTTCTAAACTCCCATTAGGACAGGTGCTTTGCCTCATCAGGCCTTCACCTGGCCCAGTCCCCCAGTGGGTTGTCTTTGCTTGTCTGGGTACTCAAGGACAGAGTTTATACCAGAGGCAACCACCCCTCAGGGCTACACTCCCTCATCTCAGGGAGTCAGTTGAAACAAAGCTTTTCTCAAAGAGGTACTTTCTCTGACAGAAAAGAAAGCTTTACTCCTGGATAGTTCTGTTCTGCCCTGGCTGGGCTCTTTCCCCAGACAGCGTTCTGACTCGGCAGCACAACTGCTTCAGACACAGTTCAGCTTTCCTGTTTTCCCAGAAAGGTCCTTAGACTGATAGGAAAGCTTTTCTCAGATTTCTTTTTGCAGCTGTGGACCTATAAACCCAGGACTTGTAGGAAATCGCACAACTGTGCTGTTCCCACCGGCTTTAGCTTTGTTTGTTCATTAGCAATCTTCCCCTGGGTCCTGCACCTTCCTGCCTTAGCTCTGTGCTCCAGGAAGTTTACCACTGCAGGAACCCTAGTATCCCTGAAATGCACTCCAACTCAGAGACACTGGCCAATTGCCCCTGGGTTTTTTGGTCAGAAGCAAGGATACAATGCTAAATGAGTTTGCATTGCTTCAGGGGATCTTTGCATTCATTAGGAAGATTAGGAGCACCTTTTCATTCTGAAATGCTCACTCAGAAACAAAACCCTTGATGCCTCAGCTTGGCTGTAACTGAAAAGCTTGGCTTATTTGCTTTTCTCAGGTCAAGTTTCCTGCCCTTTTGGGCTCTCTGTAGCTCTTTATCCACACTCTCCCAAGTGTTTCCCTCAGGGGACTTTGACCCACCGCCTTTTACTAGCTTGAGATAGAGCTTAGAAGAGAGGTTTTTAGGAACTCCATCCCTGCCTCCTGCATTGCAGGGAGGATTTTTAAAGCTTGAAAGCAGAACTTAGAGAGGTTTTGCTGTCTTAAGAGGTTTGTTTTCCCTTAGAGCTAATCACAGGTGGTCCCCATACTAATATCTTCAGGTGATTCTAATTTGTCCTTCTGAGAGAGAAAGTTAAAGGCTTTAGTTTTTATGTTTGAGAGCTTTTGAGAAAGATTAAAGCTTTTTAGAGAGATTTCCCTGCCAAATTTTCCAAGAAAAGCTTTATAGCTTAAGAGAAAGATTTTTTTCCCCAGGAGAAAGACCAATTTTTCCCAAAACTTCCCAACTTTAAACTTTGACTTCTTAACACCCCCATTTTTGCCTCGGGGAGAAAAAACTTTCTCCTGCCGCTTGGACATATCATTTCAGCTCTCCCCATGTGAAAAGCTTCCATAGGAAACTTTTTCTTCCCCATATGCTCAAAGAAGAGCTTTTTTTACTACCCGTAATGCCCAAAGAAAGATTTTTTTCTCCTAGTTAGCGTTCATAGCCCCCAAAGTTAGAAATCTGAAGTTTTTCTGTCTAGTTGCCTTATATTTTTTTGTACACGATCTTACATTTCTAATTTTTTCCTACACTATATTACTACCCTATACCTTATACTTATTTTTCACAGATAGAAATTGAGAAAGGGATAGAAGATGGAAATTTTTGACAGAAGAGAATTACACTGTAGCATTGGACATCCTTCCAGTCCGTTTTCCTTTTCTCTCGAGGATAAAACCCCTGCCCCTAAAATTTTCCATAACACTGGCATGCTTTTTCACTGACAGGGCTGACCCACACTTTCGCCAAAAACTCTGGAATAAAACTATTATTTTCCTTTATCTTTAGTCCCTATTACTTTGTCTTTAGTCCCTGTTCATTTGTCTTAGTCCCCCTTTTTTTCTTTAGTCCCTTTTTTCTTTTTTCTTTAGTCCCTGTTCATGGCGCCATTCTGTGGGGTGTTCACCCACCAACCCCACAGCTCCCCAGAGTTTTCTTGAGTGTGAGCAGCAGGAAATATTAGATAGAAGGATTTATTGTGGAGAATCTTGCAGAGATAAACAGATAGAAAAAGAAAATAAAGGATAGCCTCGAGAGGGCCTGGAACCTTTTCCAACGAGCCCTGACTATCTCTGCCTCAGGGTTTTTATAGAGACACCAAGGGGTGGAGCAAAAGACCTCCTCCCCCAGCATAGCTAAGTGCAGACCATTTCAGACACCTGAACTCAGGCCCGTGGTCCTAATCATCCTCTTCATGCAGACCTGCTGGGTAAAGCCACGAGGAACCCAAAAACGGGCTCCCACAACCAAGGAACTTATATAGTTTATAAACACCTTCATCAATGTAGCAGGATACAAGATTAACTCAAAAAAATCAGTAGTCCTCCTATATACAATTGACAAACAGGCTGAGAAAGAAATCAGAGAAACATC